AAAAAAAGGGCTTAGCACATGTAGGGAATAGGCTTTTATTCTCTCTGGAGCCTTTTGTTTGGAGTTATTTCCTGTTCCTGTTTTGAGGCTATTTCCTATGTCATGTATTCTGACCTGTGTTTGGGTGTGCCCTTTGGCCTTTGTGAGTTAATCCTACCATGTCCTGTCTCAGGTGGGATATGCTTTACAAACTCTAGCTCACTTGATTATGTGGGCTGAAGACAGATACGCAGATTTGCTCCTTATTGTGTTAGGAGATTTCAACATTGCTTAACTTGAGTCAAGACTTACCAAGATACTTTCAGCATGTCAATTGTCTTACTAGAGGCAAGAATACTTAGTCTAAAATTTAGGACTTGGGGAGAATCAAGAAGGAAATCACCTCCAGGAAATCTCACAGCGAGCTTGGTGTCCTTCTCTTCCCGCGCTTCCCAGAAATGAGCACCTGTCCTGCTGTGGTTGCCAAAAATGTTTGCCCGTTTCAGATGTGGCTCGGTATATGAATAACAACAGAATCCAGCTGTTTTGCCTTGATAAGCTTTTAACGCGTTTATTCAGCTGCAGCCAAGAAGGCTTCACACACAACCATGATCTGGATGACTGAAAATCTCCATTGACATCCAGGGTTTGGCATTCACTCCTGAGCCTGGTCACTGGTTGCTTGATGAACCGAGGAATTATTCAAGCCCTGATACTATGGAAGACCAGCTTGGTGTATAATAAGGGCTGTTAACCTGGAGTGACATCAGAGTCAGGAAGGCTCAGGCTGAGACACAGCTGTGCTGGGAGTCTGAATTGGACAGTGATGAATCACAGCCGGCAAGAAAAGAGAGTAGGACAGAGGAATGCAACGGTGCGGCTCCAAAGGCAAAGGAGAAGGCATTAGGAAGCCAGGCCTTGGCCGTGAGAGTCTGGATGGGGAGGAACAAACTCAGACTCAACCCGTCCAAGACCGAGTGGCTGTGGCTACCAGCGCCTCGGCATAGTCAGCTGATTCCATCGCTGACTATAGGGGGCGAAACTTTGGCCCCCTCGGATCGGGTCCGCAACTTGGGTGTTCTCCTGGATTCGCGGCTGACACTGGATGACCAGTTGGCGGCCGTGACCA